AGAACCCTTTATTTCGTACGTTGCAGAAAACATCTTGCATAATGAGTCTCATTAGTTAAGAGGAAGGCTGAGAGGTTAACTAGGCATGGTAGTCTACTAGAGAAAAGTGTGAGGTAAGTATCTGAGGAATTATGTTAGCGTGTGCAGGATCCGAAACTATCCAGTGAGGTGGCAAGGTATCATGATTACCCAGTTCTACATCCTCTTCAAACGCCTTCAGTTCATTGAGATTACTATAAAGGTTGTCTCTGTTTTCTTGGATAGCTTGGGCCATCCCTGCTTGTTTCAGGATTGGCGTTTGATCTCCGATTGCTGAGGTGCTGATTGGCGCTCTTCTACACCATTCTCACCAGCTGTTTTTCTCTGAACAGGACAGGAAAATATCCTAGCAGCCTGTCCTCCTACAAACAACGTTGCATTTCACTCGTAAGCGTTAAATAAGGGCCAAAAAATTCGTACTAGAAAATGGAAGCGGCTCGCGAAAGTGACGTACTGTCCCGTTTTCTGTTTTGGGTCCTCTGGTAAGTTGAGAGAAGACACTTTAAATTAACCGTTGTCTTGACGTTGGGAAACCTTAGGAGGACGTGCTGGTCCGAGAGTCCAGCTGAGTACTATCAGCTGAGTCCTTTACCCAGGATATTGCCATACTTCGAGTAATGTGCCAATAGCCTTAACCTGCAGATATTTAAAACTGTCTTATGTTAGGGTAGTTGAGCGTCCAGGTTGAACGTGTCCCTCTTCAAATGTGATTGAATACGCGAATTTTTTTTAAAACGCTTCAGGGCGAATACCATTTTAATGTAATTTCCTCTATACGAGGGTAGGAAGTTTTGTTTCATATAGTCTATATATTTGTGATCTCTGTAGTAGCATTAGAGTAGAGGATGGTGTAACCAACTGAATCGAAGGAGGTCATGGAAGTGGAAGGTAATTAATTAAGCTTCTACCTGCACAGCGTGTCTTTTCACCAAATTGAAATTATTCTTAATGTCAAATTTCGATGCAGCCTTACCTTCGAGGATATCATTGTATAGACCTTATGAGTCGCCGTTACACTGTCTTAAGATCTCCCACTACTAAGCTGATTTGATCCAAGTGTCCCTGCATATTACGCAGAGATCCTTCTGACAGACGCCTTGGAAAGATGGTATATCCACGTAAAAAATACCCGATTGTACCATCGTGATCTGTTACCTGCGCAGGATCTTACGAAATGAGATTAACTTACAAAGTTAATCACGAAATATTGCAGCCGTGTGGTTGATGACAAATTTTGTGTGATCCAATAGGAGAGCCGGAGCGACTACTCTCTAACCTATAAAAATAATTTCTTCGATATGATCATTTCTAATACCAGGATCAGATACACACACACACACACACACACACACACACACACACACACACACACACACACACACACACACACACACACACACAGGGGGCCCTCGTAGCCTGGTAGGGGGCCTCGAAGCCTGGTGGATAGCGCGCAGGACTCGTAATTCTGTGGCGCGGGTTCGATTCCCGCACGAGGCAGAAACAAATGGGCAAAGTTTCTTTCACCCTGAATGCCCCTGTTACCTAGCAGTAAACAGGTACCTGGGAGATATTCAGCTGTCACGGGCTGCTTCCTGGTGTGTGTGTGTGGTGTGGAAAAAAAAAAAAAAGTAGTAGTTAGTAACAGTTTATTGACAGTTGAGAGGCGGGCCGAAAGAGCAAAGCTCAACCCCCGCAAACACAACTAGGTGAAAACTAGGTGAAACTCACACACACACACACACATACACACACACACACACACACACACACACACACACACACACACACACACACACACACACACACACACACACACACACACACACACACACACATACACACTCACACACACACACACACACACACACACACACACAGACACACACACATCGCAAGCAAGGCAAAGACTCAGCCTAAATTGTTGCATTGCCACATGAGGAGAAAAACAACAGTAAAGGAACAGGTTATGAAATTAAGGATAGGGGCAGAAGGATTCACTACAAATGACAAGGAAGTGTGTGAGGAATTCAATAAGAAATTCCAGGATGTCATCACCTTAGAGCAAGGAGAAATTCCAAAGGTAAGAGAGGGAATAGATAACCAGGAACCACTGGAAGACTTTGAGATTACCAGCGGGGAAGTAAGGATGTGTTTACTAGAGTTGGATGTGACAAAGGCTATAGGCCCAGATGGAATCTCCCCTTGGGTTCTAAAGGAAGGAGCAAGAGAACTGTGCCTACCACTCTCCATAGTGTATAACAAATCACTGGCAACAGGGGAACTGCTAGATATTTGGAAAGCAGCTAACGTAGTCCCGATATACAAGAAAGGGGATAGACAGGAGGCACTGAACTACAGGCCAGTGTCCCTAACCTGCATACCATGCAAGCTGATGGAGAAGATTGTGCGAAAAAAACTAGTGGAGCATCTGGAGCGAAGGAACTTTGTAACACAGCATCAACATGGGTTCAGGGATGGCAGGTCCTGCCTCACAGGGTTACTTGAATTCTACGACCAGGCAACAAAAATAAGGCAAGAAAGAGAAGCGTGGGCAGACTGGATTGTCAGAAAGCCTTTGATACAGTGCCACACAAGAGGCTAGTGCGAAAGTTGGAGATGCAGGCTGGAGTGAAAGGGAAGGTACTCCGGTGGATAGAGGAGTACCTAAGCAACAGGAGACAACGAGTCTGTGTGAGGGATGAGATCTCAGATTGGCGAGACGTTACAAGTGGAGTCCCGCAGGGGTCAGTCCTTGGACCTATACTGTTTCTGGTATATGTAAATGATCTCCCAGCGGGTATAGATTCGTTTCTCTCAATGTTTGCCGACGATGCAAAAATTATGAGGAGGATTGAAACAGAGGATGATAGTAGGAGGCTACAGGATGACCTAGATAGACTGAGTGAAAGGTCCAACAAATGGCTGTTGAAGTTCAACCCGAGTAAATGCAAAGTAATGAAACTAGGCAGTGGAAACAGGAGGCCAGGCACAGGATACAGAATAGGAGATGAAGTACTTAATGAAACAGACAGAGAGAAAGATCTAGGAGTTGATATCACACCAAACCTGTCTCCTAAAGCCCACATAAAGAGAATAACGTCTGCGCCATATGCGAGGCTGGCTAACATCAGAACAGCGTTCAGGAACCTGTGTAAGGAATCATTTAGAATCTTGTACACCACATATGTAAGACCAATCCTGCAGTATGCGGCCCCAGCATGGAGCCCGTACCTTGTCAAGCACAAGACGAAGCTGGAAAAAGTCCAAAGGTATGCTACTAGACTAGTCCCATAACTAAGAGGCATGAGTTATGAGGAAAGGCTGCGGGTAATGCACCTTACGACACTGGTCGACCGGGTAAACAAGGATGAACTATTCAACACTGGAGGGACGCGAACAAGGGGACACAGGTGGAAGCTGAGTACCCAAATAAGCCACAGAGACATTAGAAAGAACTTTTTCAGTGTCAGAGTAGTTAGTAAATGGAATGCACTAGGAAGTGATGTGGTGGAGGCTGACTCCATACACAGCTTCAAATGTAGATATGATAGAGCCCAGTAGGCTCAGGAATCTGTACACCTGTTGATTGACGGTTGAGAGGCGGAACCAAAGAGCCAAAGCTCAACCCCCGCAAGCACAATTAGGTGAGTACACACACACACACACACACACACACACACACACACACACACACACACACACACACACACACACACATATACACACATAGCCTAGCACCTGAATGGACTGAGGTCTGGGGGCGTAGCCCTAAGGGCCCGGGTTTGATTCCAGGCAGAGGTAAAAACAAATGGGTAGAACTCCTTTCACCCTTGTGCCCTGTTCACTTAGGAGTAAATAGGTACCTGGGAGTTAGACTGCTTCCTGGGGATGTATGTGTGTGTAAGAAAAAAAACATGAAGTAGACATAATAGAGGATAAATATATTGGTTAGAAAGGCGGGGTCCAATAGCAAATAGTTCGATTCTGTAGATACAAATAGTAAAGACACACATACGGACACAAGTGAAAACTTAGTATCCAAATGATCCACAGGGGCGGCAGAAAGAACTTTTTCACTGTCAGAGTAGTTAACAGGTGGAACGCATTAGGCAGTGATGTGTTAGGGGCAGACTCTAAACACAGTTTTAAATGTAGATATGATAGAGCCCAGTAGGCTCAGGAATCTGTACACCAGTTGATTGACAATTGAGAGGCGGGATCAAAGATCCGAAGCTAAACCTCCACTAGCATAACTAGGAGGGAACAAACACAAACGCTCACACACACAGGCCGTAACGGAAGTAAACACACTTTTTATACCAACAGTTGCACTCGTTACACTGAGGGTAGGAACTCTGGGGCCGCTGTTAGTGACACATGCATAAATATCTGTAACAAATATATCTAACTGGTCAAGAAAAAAAAACTATATACACAATAAACCTTATCTTTTCATCCTGATTTTTAAAGTAAATAATAAATATCAACAACGTTGTATATGACAAATATTTGGAGAGAGAGAGAGAGAGAGAGAGAGAGAGAGAGAGAGAGAGAGAGAGAGAGAGAGAGAGAGAGAGAGAAGAGAGAGAGAGAGAGAGAGAGAGAGAGAGAGAGAGAGAGAGAGAGAGAGAGAGAGAGAGAGAGAGAGAGAGAGAGAGAGAGAGAGAGAGAGAGAGAGAGAGAGAGAAAGAGAGAGAGAGAGAGAGAGAGAGAGAAAGAGAGAAGAGAGAGAGAGAGAGAGAGAGAGAGAGAGAGAGAGAGAGAGAGAGAGAGAGAGAGAGAGAGAGAGAGAGAGAGAGAAGAGAGAGAGAGAGAGAGAGAGAGAGAGAGAGAGAGAGAGAAAGAGAAAGAAAGAGAGAGAGAGAGAGAGAGAGAGAGAGAGAGAGAGAGGAGAGAGAGAGAGAGAGAGAGAGAGAGAGAAAGGATGTGAAAAAAGAGAGAGATCAACTTTTGAAACTCACGTTCTTCTCCCAGCTCACTCTGTAGGGTTGCGGGTTGGCTGTCACCCGGCACTCGAAGTAAACGTCGTCCCCCTGCTTTATGGAGGTTGGCACCAGGTTCCTGCCCATCTCCAGCACCACAACCGGCGCGTCTGCGAGGTACGGGGGAGAGAGAGAGAGGGAGAGAGAGAGGAATAACGAGCAAGTTAGTCTTGTGGAAGATGGCTGTGGGCATTAGGGATGGGGAGGTAGTCATTTGTTGGTGGGGGATGGAGTCTTGCGCTGGTGGGGGAATAGAGGGGGCAGGGGGGAAGACAGGTGTCTTGTGTTGGAAGAAGAATGTGGGAGAAGGTTGGGAACCTAAGTGGAGGATGTTGTGGGGGGGGGAGGAGGTCGAGGATTCTTATGTTTGGGTGCTTAAACGGGAGGATGTTTATTGTTTAACTGGTTGGTGTACTCTGGTGTTTTGGCGTGTATGTGGGGTGGATGGAATCCTTTGGTGTATGTGGGGTGGATGGAATACTTTGGTGTATGTGGGGTGGAATGAATCCTTTGGTGTATGGGGGGTGGATGGAATCCTTTGGTGTAAGTGGGGTGGATAGAATCATTTGGTGTATGTGGGGTGGATGGAATACTTTGGTGTATGTGAGGTGGAATGAATCCTTTGGTGTATGGGGGGTGGATGGAATCCTTTGGTGTAAGTGGGGTGGATAGAATCCTTTGGTGTATGTGAGGTGGAAGGAATCCTTTGGTGTATGGGGGGTGGATGGAATCCTTTGGTGTAAGTGGGGTGGATAGAATCCTTTGGTGTATGTGGGGTGGAATGAATCCTTTGGTGTATGTGAGGTGGAAGGAATCCTTTGGTGTATGTGAGGTGGAAGGAATCCTTTGGTGTATGTGAGGTGGATGGAATTTGTTGGTGAATGTGGGGTGGATGGACTCTTTTGGTGTATGTGGGGTGTAGGTAATCCTTTGGCGTATGGGTGTGTATGTTGGGTGCTATGAAGCCCTCTGATAAAGAGTGGTGTGTGGTGTGTGCTCTATGTGGTGTGCCTGGAAGTTTCTGATATTTGTGGGTGCATTTTGTTAGCGTGAAGGCGTTTGAAGTACTGGTATTGATGTGGGGTATCACGAAGCCTCTTTTATATTTGGGGCGCCTGAAAACCTTTGGGGTTTTGGCGAGTGTGTGTAGGGCTCTGGTGTATGGGCGTGTATGTTGTCTGTGTGGAAGGCTCTGGTATACTGATATGTATGTGAGTTGTTTAGAGGCTTCTGATAAATCTTTGTGTATGGGGTGCCTGAAAGCCTTTGGTGCATAAAGCCAGGTATGTGAAGGTCTCTGAAAGTCTCTGGTGTCTCTGTAGCTTCCAGGATCCAGGAAGCCTCTGTAATGTACCGGTGCCTGGAAGTCCAAAGTGAATAATGATGAATACAGGAGGGCCCCTTAGGATAGGTTATGTTGTATGGCTGCACTAAACAGAAGAGTTAGGGGGAATATCTGGTACATGGTGGGTGTAGGCTGGAATGCCATAATTCGGCATTGTGAAAAAAATCATACATTTAGTGGTGAATCTGTGAGTGAAGATGTGAACATTTTAAGTATATATAGGTGGCGTATATATGCATATTAAATTTACGTAACAGAGAGTGAAAATGCGTACATAGCTACCTTCATATAGATGACTGCATGCTTACATGCGTGGTTTCCACAACGTACGCACGCAAACGTTAATCAGCTTAGGTACCTGGCATTGCTCACCAGGTAATAGTTGGGTGTCGCCCGGTCGACATAAGGAAGTATTGATCGAGTTTCCGAGGGGAAGAAACAGTAATGATACGTCCTCACAGAAACATCTGTTTCGTCATCCCATCAGAATGTGTTCAATGTTTATACCTTGCAGTAGCTTGTAGGGTTCTCTTTAAATGTTTCTGTGGGGGCGTATTATTACTGTTCCCCCTTCGGAAACGCGATCAATACTTCCTCATGTCGACCGGGCGAAACCCAACCATTAATTCATTACCTGAATATGGTGGCCAGCTTCCTTTAAAGCAATGATCTGAGCAATGGCTTACTTGCTTAGTTCCTTGGTGGGTGCCATACCAACAACGTAAGGCCACCAACACCACTGTTAACTGCGATAACAGAGGCGAGGTGCCAGAGCTGGTCACAGAGCACAACCGCTCACTATGAATGCCCGGGGCCGAATGATCTTACCAGCTGTGTGCAACCGTGGGAACCCCCCAACGTCATGTTCTCTTGCTAACTTCCATATCATATATATTTCACCCACACAACTATCATTCCTTTGATGCCTGAAGTACGCACCGCCTAGAGCAGGGATGACAATACTTTGGTCAAGTATTGTACGTCTTCCCTCTCTCTTCCACAATATATTAATGTGAGGTGTAAATCCGTCATCTCCACTCTGGGGTTAGAGTAATGGCATGCGCATAGACGTCTTCAAGCAGCGTTTTGTATTCAAAAGAGATAAGAATTCCACACTGGTACTGGACATTCAAAAGAGGTCGGACATCTGTGGTTCACAAAAACCTGAGTGAGCTTTAGCAAAATTTCGAAATGCAGTTTATATGTTGAATAAATTAGCAAACACAGCTGATGCGACACGCTCGATGGGTGTTAGGAGTTAAGAAGTTGTCGATAGAAAAATTGGAAT